TGCTTCCAGTACAATGGTACAGTGCAGCACCAGATTGGTCCACTCACCAGTTCACTTCACCCCAGTCACCACTAAGCCTTAGATCCATGCTACAATACAGTTCAAAAAGTTCTTTATTCCATGCACCAGAAAAACTGTAAGTGAGTCAAAAGACCATGTACAAGAGAAAAAAGACATTTGGCCTCTATCAACCTAACTAGTTTCAAAAAGCACATAANTTTTTTTGGGGTGGGGAGTGGGGGCGGAGGGCGGGAGGTTAAGAACATCCTTTCATGTTTGATGTTTCCCGCCTCCTTATTTCCTCCCTACAATAGGCACCAGCACTGCTTCCAGTACAATGGTACAGTGCAGCACCAGATTGGTCCACTCACCAGTTCACTTCACCCCAGTCACCACTAAGCCTTAGATCCATGCTACAATACAGTTCAAAAAGTTCTTTATTCCATGCACCAGAAAAACTGTAAGTGAGTCAAAAGACCATGTACAAGAGAAAAAAGACATTTGGCCTCTATCAACCTAACTAGTTTCAAAAAGCACATAACATACCTCATTGCCGGAATCACTTTGCAGTAAGCACTTATTCACATTTAAAATCTTATCAAAACAGCCAGGGGCATGCAGACCCAAAGCATAGCGAGAGCCCTCTGTATCGTCTTGCAATTGTTCAGCAGGTACCCAGCCCTTTGGGCCAAACGAGAACTCCATCTGCATCACAAAGCAGAAAAATAAAGTAAAGGATCCATTGTTTATTAACTCTTAATTGTTTTTGGTCATTCTATTTCCCCTATAACTTTCTGAATGTAAGGACTATTATGCTCATATAAGACCATCATAAGAAGACAAGACGAGTGGGTGAAACAGAAAAAGAAAAGAAAAGATAAAAGCACAGTGCTATATACACATACCCGGAGATTATTGACCTCAAAGAAAACAATTTATTTTTCTCATAATTACAAGAAAAATTAAAGTGGATTTCTGCAATTTGACTCAAGTTAACTGATATTAAACCACAGAAACTATTGCTAAGAAAAGTTCCAACACCTTTCTACACTACCCGAATATATAATTACCTAGGTCTCCCTTAAATTAGCTCCCTGCACTTCTAAATTAAGCAAATAACAACTTAATTTTTTCTTTCTCTAATGTTCTTGAAAGGCTCTTCTAACCTTATTTCATTTTGAGTTTCGAGTAAATTCTGCCCTAAGAAGGTAGCCTAGAAGTCGAAGAATTGTAGTAATAACTTTGGTAATGAGGTTTGGATTCCAACAAAGGTGATACAAGTGAATTCTTGCCATCTGTCTAGAACTTGGTGGGTAGACTTATTTGATACTTCTGCTAGTGAGAGGTAGATGGGTTAGTCACAAACTGGCCCGAGCACCGCCATAAGAAAAAAGATAAATAATTTAGGTTAAGTTGGAAATAATTTAATAACCTAATGCATTACAGATTAAATCAACACTGCATTCAAGCATGTGGAAATCTTTTGGTAAGTACGCCTGAATACCAAGCAAGCCAGGTTTGGCTATATAAATCGGCACAAGATCATACCCCTCCATTTAAGATCATCCTAGACCCATATTTTATATTATACAAATAATAAAGAACTAAAAGAATCCTAGAAAGCATAAGGCCTAACGTAAACATACTAACATATTCCTAACTAATTGGTTCGCCTATCCCCAAAAAGAACTTTCTGTTCTACTATGCCCGAATTTTCGCTAGGTCGATGTGGATTCCAAGAGATTGTAGGTCTTTCAAGTCGAGACACCACCAAAAAGAAAACCACCCTAGTAATGCTGTGTTAGATTCCATTATTAGTAACAGTGAGTAGAAGTTTAGTTCAACATTTAAGCAATATCCAAATTGTGAATATAGGTAAATCCTCTACTGACCTTATTCCTATAGTGAAATTGGATATCACAAGGAACAATGGGTTTCATAGCATCAGCAAATACTGGCTCTCGATCAGAAAACTTGCCCACGTGTACAACCAGGTCGCGAACTTGTTGCTCCTTGGCCCTGAGCTGAGCTCCATATGACAAGTTCTGCGTCTTGCAACCTCCACAATGCGAAGCATGTTCACACGGTGCTTCAACATAGTTTAAATGCGGCGTTATGGTTTTCAATTTCTTCACCTGCCATCCTTATCAACCAGCATAACATCAATCAACAAATTGGGTACAAGTACTAAAAACATTTCCAATAAATTTCGCCTATATTATCCTCGCCAATCTAAAAGCGAACTAAATAACTTTAAAAACAAAATAATAAGTATAAACGTGTATATATAGCGATAAACGAGGAATGTAATTAAATCAGACTTGAATTAAAGGAGAGAAAAAAAGCAGATACCTCGGCATAATTCTCTCTTTTGCGAGTGACGCGGCCAATAAATCGTTCTCCAGGGAGTGCACGATCACACATGAGTACAAAACCAGTGTCAGCAACTTTGCAAACGCCTTTTCCCTTGAAAGCAAGGGATTCACATACTAGCTCTAATGTTTGCCCTCGCTTTGGAAAATAAGGCTTCTTCGACTTGACATTGTTGTTGTTACTAGTACTAGGCACTGTTGCTTGGACATTTTCATTGGAATTTATGTTCAATTGAATGTCTTCGGTATCTTCAACGGGAGAAAGAGAAGCGAGAGTAGTGAATGAACGTGAACGTATTGATGCAGTTGCTGTTCGAGTCCGGAGTTTGTGTAGCCATTGATTAGAGGGTAGTGAACGAAGGCCGAAAGTAGTTGACGCCGCCATTTTCAATCGGACTAACTGTTAAACCATAAGGCGTCGGGAAACAAGTCCGACTCCGAGAGACGATGTATTTGGAGGTTTTAAGGATAGGGTGGCTAATGAGGAAATGACAAAATGGTCCCTTATGTTTCTGGTAGGCTTTAATGTATCCCTTAAATATATTCCTGATCAGTTTTGGTCCTTTAAGTTTGACAAATTCGAATACTTATATCATGGATTGGGCTTTATGCCGACTGCCATATAGGCCCATTATCTGGTAAAGCCAGCTCGAGAATAATGATTGGGTTTTTGGCGTCTGCGGTAGAGGCCCATATTTGGCAAAGCCTCGGGGCTTTTGCATCTATACCCGGTTTTGGGATCACAATTGAATTTATACTCACTTTACAAAAAATAATTGCAAGTGTACCCACTTTACGATCAACTTCAGACTTATCGGGTCTGAAGTTAAAACAAATTAGTCTGAAATGAAAAAATTGCACTTCAAATGCACTTAAGGCCAAATATGTCTGAAGTGCAACCAATGGTTTCATGCACTTAAGGCCAATAAGTGTGAAGTAAAAAATTACACTTCAGATGCACTTAAGGTCAATAAGTCTGCCCACTTTTCGGGCAACTTTAGACATACGGGCCTGAAGTAGCAAAAATTTATGTCTGGAGTTTGAACTTCAGAATTTTTTGCCTGAAGTGTAGCCTTATCAAAGCAAAACTTCAGATATTTTTGCCTGAAGTTTGGCCTGACTTGCAAAGCCAATCAGACAAACTTCAGTTCATAGCGCAAAGGCAAATTTCAGTTCATAGTGCAAGGGCAAATTTCAGTTCATAGTGCAAAGATTCTGTTGTAAAGCTTCAGTTGTGTATGTCTAAAGTTTGAACTTTATAATTTTTTTGCATGAAGTGTGGCCTTATTAAAGCAAAACTTTTAAATATTTTCACCTAAAGTTTGACCTAACTTACAAAGGTAATCGATTTTCTTTGTACTCCTATAATACAGACTATACAGTAGCCCTCTATTTGTGGCCCCTGTGAAGAGTTGGTGAATGATTTAAGATCAACGGAGCTTCTAAGAATTAAATAATGAATGAGATAAAGCCTCTTCATAGCAAAATCTTGAAAATAATGTATGTGGAGCTTGGTTTGTTGAAGAGACACATGCAACTACGTCTATTCAACAATTACTATAGAGTAAACGTATTAAATCAATTTCATGCATGTGTAAAGCTATCAGTTTCACTTCATAGTGCAAACTTCAGATAAATTAGTCTAAAGTTCTTCAATTTGTAGTGCAAACTTCAGACAAAATTAGCTTGTTATATTTGAACTTCAGATAGTCTAGCTTGACAATTGCAAACTTCAGAGAAAGTTTGACCCTGCAGTCCCAGACTTCAGACTCGTATCTTTGAACACGTTCAATAATTGAGCTCCGGATGCTTCTTCGAGTTTCACACTCCCGGACAATGTTCAATCACGTTTCCAACAAGGAATGCAGGTCCAAGGATTTTAGTCAAATAATTTGGATTAACAAACCTGAAATTTCATATTTAAATACCCAGATGATTTCAAGATTAGATCTTCAACATCTCAATTATTAATTTGAGTTTTCAAGATCTTTTAATGGTGACTTTAATTCAAAACTCATACCCTACTGCTAGATCACTGTATACTTCATATCCAATCAAAGTCTCATGTGTTTGAGAGAGAAAAGAAGAAGAGGAAGAAGAAAGGAGTGCATAGGTCAGGAGGAAGAAGATGAGGCTTCTGAAGTTGTCAAAATTAGGGTATATGTTAAATAATTTTAAAAATACGGGTATAGGTTAAATTGGGGCGACAAAATAGGGTGGCCCGTGTAATTTTTACCAAAGCCTCGGTGGAGATTGAACAGTGTTTTGAGGAAGCTCTTTGAATGTGAAACGACAAAGTTACACATTTGATTGGTCGATAAAAAATAATTACTTATATATTTATATACAAAAAATATAAATTATTTTTGTTATTATTTTTAAGAACAACTATAATACGTAGTTTTCCAAAACTAACACGTTCCCAAAAGGGTTCTTCCAAAAGGGAAAAAGATCCGATCAAGTAATATTGTCTCAAATAATGTTCAATAAATTTTTATATTTATGCCATGTGGATCATAAAATAATTAATGGCTAAGATTCATTTTAATTCCTATACTTATCTAACAACTGTCGTTAATATTAATCATGTTTCTTACTTTTATAATGTAAAATAAAGTAAAATATGGGCACCAGATGAATTTTCCAAAAAATCGTTATTAAGAAATTTGATAATATTTGGCACCACGTACATATAAAAGATGGATACTTGTATTTGTAATTTAGTGTATTTTTTGTAAGATTGCTTTCAAAAAAATAGAAGAAATATCATTCCAGTATAATCATTTATAGAGAGCACTGCATTTTACGTTATTTAATTTGCAGTTTAAGTAATAAACATGAATAGATTACGGCTACCGCTAGTATATGTATTTTTATTTTTAGTTTTTTGGTAAGTATAGGAACTGATTTGAATCATAGCCATTAATTAGTTTATGAATCACATGGCATAAATCTAAATAGCTACTAACATTACTTGAGACAATATTACTTTGAATGGATCTTTTTCCTACGGTATTGATCATCTTTACGGTAAGAAGTTTGCCTCTATTTTCAGCAACTTTTCTTTCCGATTTTCGAGGATAAAATATGTAGTAGTAATTCTTTTGGCAAAAAGGCCCAATGGTCGCGTGAACTTGTACCCATTTGTTATCCTGGTATATAAACATACTAGTAGGGTTAGCCCGGGCTTTGCCCGGGCCCAACATGAACAACGTTGTGCTTTTTGTTATATATTATGCTACTTTATCAACGTAAGGGAATACAGGTAACATTGAGCGGATGGGTTTTCGTTTTAGGTGTTGGTAGTAAATTTTTCTTTTTCAAAGTAAATTTGTTAGTACTAAGCTAAGGTTGCATATTATTTTGTATAGGTATGCGGCTATGGTTTCACTGTTGGATTAGAGTTACGATGAAACACTTTAAAGTTTTGGAGGTATGACTGAAAACATAAATGTATATATAATGGGAGCTGCCTGGATTTACCAGATAATTCAAAGAGTTAGTTTGCGTAGCTAACAGTAAACTGTTGAAAACATAAATTCATATATAATGGAAGCTGCTNCTGCCTGGATTTACCAGATAATTCAAACACAAAATGTGGAACATTGAACTGCAGTAAACAACACCAGCAAAATTTGTGTTGGTAAGAGTTAGTTTGCATAGCTATTTATAGAAAATGTGAAATATTGTACTGCAGTAGACAACACAACGAAAATCTTCCTTGAATGCAAGTATTACAACTGCTATAGCCTATCAAATAACATTGAGGCGACCTTTGTTGCACTTCAAATGTGATGAGGCACCTGTACGAAAAACAAATTGGAAGTTAAGTGTAAAAGAGTAGTTGAGAATATGTAATTTGGACAAAGAGCTGTGAAGACATTGGACACAGATTTTGTTTTGCATAGCAACATAGGCTTTACCGTATGAGCAAAATCCATAAGTCTATTTTGACAAAAAATAAGTTTTTTAATGGACAGAAATTGAGAGCAATAAATGTAATTGTTCATTAAGTAGGCTAAAGCAGACAACAAAAAAACTTTTGAGATTTGCCTTTTTCACTTTTGGATTAGAGTTCTGATGAAACGCTTTGAAGTTTTGGAGGTACGACGAAAACATAAATGTGTATATAGTGGGAGCTACTCGGGTTTACAAGATTATTCAAAGAGTTAGTTTGCGTAGGTAATAATAAACAGTTCATGAAAATCTGCGTAGTTATTCACACAAAATGGGGATAAAATAAGCAGTTTAACGGACGAAAATTGGGAGCAGTAAATGTAATTGTTTATTAAGTAGCGTACAAATAGACAACAGAAATTCTTTTGGGATTTGGAAATGTCATCTTGCTAAATCATTTAACAAAGAGTTAGAATACATGCTTGGATGGACAAACAATTTTGTTCACTTTCTACCTGACAAAACTTTTATTATATATAAACTTATTGTTTGTATTTGCTATTGTTTGTTAGCTGTATTTTCTTTAATTTTGTTCTTACATACAAATTAACTTAGTTAAAAGCTCTTAAAAAAAGTATAGTCTATCAAGTATTAATTTCTAACCTTGAGTATTTTTGTAGAGGACTTGGTCATTGTACTTTTGGTTTCTTTCTTGGGGTTCCATCTTCTGTCGATGGACTGCGATCTGCTTCTTCAGAAGTGATGGATTGTACCTTCCTTTTACTTCCCTCGCCAATAGTAGCTGATGTTGAAGATTGTGCCAAGTCGAAGACAGTCTGTTTCTGGGTGTAAGATAAAATGACAAAGGTACCAGGTGGCCTATCTGGTGTTCTGAGTAGTGATTTTTGTAAATGAATTTTGAACAGCTTGTCTAGCAGGCTCTCTCTGATATGCTCAATGGGTAATAATTGTTTATTTGGGGGAAAATTTACCACAAAATGAGTAAAGTGAAGACTTTAAATTAATTTGAAGTGATGCAAAATGAATCTAGAGTTGTCAGTATATACACCTGGACAATGGTAGTTTCATACATTTAGTCTGCTGTCAGTGAAAGCATTGTTTCAGCTAGTTTGTCCGAACTACTACTGTTATTGTTCCGCTCCCGTCTGTGACATCAACTTCAAATTCACATCTACATTGTTGTGTTTGTGTAATCATAAAGTTTTAGCCGTTAGATGTCGTTTGTCATAGTATGTCAATAGTAAGAGCTGCTATTACCTTGGAATCAACATTCTCTAGCTTGCAGTTGATACAGAGAACTTTCTTTTTGCGCTTGATTCGTGTTAGATGTTGGCATTCAAAGCATAGAAGTACGAAGAAAAACTGGAATTCACTTGGTAATGATATTTCTCCTTCAACATAAAAACTTTGCGCTTGTTTAGAAAATAATAAAAAGATACTACTTAGTAATTACAACGTAGAATAACTCGCTATAGGGTATTTTTAATACGATATAAAAGGAAAAGAACAATCAATGCCAAGTCCGACTGATATGTTTTAATATACTCACGGTAGACTGTGAAGGAATGCTTGAAATAGAAAGTATTTGATCTTCAAAAGGTGCAACATTTAGTGTCGAAGGCGATGCTGATGTACTTTTGAGAGTGTATTCAATTAGCATCTGATTGTTGTCCTTTGCCCTGCGATGTAATAGTAGATATTGTGATTTTGTTTTGGTGTAATATGGTATGAAACAATGGAACGTATTCGTGTGCAAATAAAACCTGTTTCATACCAATTCATTTAACTTTGCTGCTGCGGGTACAAAGGATCGATTAAGATTGAGGAGTTGAACCTTGTTGTTAGTCGGACGTCTACATGTCATATACTTGTTAATGAATAAAGGTCAAGATTAATGTACATGTGTGATGTAAAGTAAGTTGTGAATACCTTGTTTAAAGTTAGAAACAGCTATTCGTTTTGCAACAATAACAGGGTATCTATGTAACTGCTGCACTAGTTCAGTTCCATCTTTGTCAGCCAATTCTCCTCATATAGTAAACAGAAAAGGCTTTTTCCTATGAAATTAAGGATGCAATGTTAAATACATATTTTGTTGTTAGAGGTAGTTAAAGTGTGTATTACTTACTTGTCGTCTATAAGAATAGCTTCTTGAAATCTTCTGTTTTCGCTGCCTTGATATTTCATGGTACCGCAATTTGCCACAACTGCCACTAGGTCTGCTTTAGAAAAGCATGCGTGTATAAAAGTAGGATGCAGTTAATTAAATTTGATAATGAAGAAGCACAAATATTTTTACAGCGGAAAATAAAATAGTATAAAGTCGTGTTTTTTACCGAATTCATCTCCTGGAATCTGTTTCTCGATATCGGCAAAGGACACCATGTTTAATCTTGAAGGCAACGGTAACATTGATTCTTCTTCATTGTTATCTATAACTTCTTCGACAATACTGAAGGTATCGAGGACCCATTCGAAGTTGTGCATGGGTATTGCAAAACGTGACGGTTCCCTAACTTTAGCTGCCGAGATAAGGTATGTGTGGAAATGTTTGACAAGGTTGTCATAATGTGCGACTTCAGGACCATATGTTATGATGCAGATTTGGTCTTCCTGCAATTTGTTAACATCTAAGATGGAGAAAGTGTTTACAGATATGGTAGAAGCTTTACTATGTACTTGAGATGTTTGTGAACTTACGTTTTCGTCCTGGACGATAGTTGTTTGAAAGTTCACCCGGTGATCTCTGCTAATTTTTGGACGGATTTTGTCAACAACTTGTATTTTACAAGTCCAATCTCTAGTAAATGGCGTGATTTCATGGATGGTATATCGATGCTCCATCTTTTGAGTATCTTGCAACCTGTGAAGAATGAAAATGTAGGACAAAGTAATTGACCCTGAGGAATTATATGAAGAAAACAATTGAAACAACTCAATGTTAGACATGACGGTAAGAGTAATTATGTGCTCCGTTGAGCTCATAGCTTGTCGATTTAGTTTGGATAATTTATTCTGTCGGAAAGTTATATTAGGTAATCTCATGTTTGAACATAAATGTAAAAAGTAGGGTGCATTGGTGTAAAAAAATCCATATAGGTTATATTATTTAGTCGAGAATAAATTTTAGTCAATTATGATATTTCCCACGAGTCTTCTCAATAAAAATGATTTTGGTCATACCAAATACACCTAATTAAGTATAAATATCAAAATATTATCAGATAATAGTTGAGTTAATTCGATTGGACATGTAGTCACTAAACCCGCTATATGTCCCGTGATATTCTTGTCCTAATGATAATTATTAGGTATAATTATTTTGGATACATCTATATTTTGAAAGGTTTTACAAAATTACTTTGTCGAATAGAGTGAAGCTCCTTTCTAATTTGAATTGTTTACACATTTTTATTTTGGAAAAAACTCAGAAGACACGAAAAAACTTAAACCACTCCAGGTTCTTCCTGGGCTTAAGAGTTCAGGAAGAACCATGAAAATGAATTATTAATAGCAAAAATCCAACACGTATGAAAACCAATTGGCGGAATATCGAATCGTCACCGGCTATGATGTACCTAGACTCAAATTACCATCCCCTCCTTCCTATGGGAAGTAACAAATTAACCAAAATATAATAATGAAAGTCTAATCAAAGGCCTGATTCGTTGAAGAATTTTCTCAAACACTTACAGAGCCAAATGAAACAGAAAAATACAGGATGAGAACAAGGAAACCCATCAGAAAATAGTAGATAGATAAAATAGAAAAACACAAGATGAAAACAAGGAAACCCGGCAGAAAACGGTGATTAAAATGAAAAATCCAAACAAATTATAGAAAATTGCAAGATAATTATGAAATACAATACCTGAAAACAGTAGTAGCATAACCTTCTGGCAACCTGAAAAGGAGTTAGCTCCTTCTTTTCTATGTTACTGTATGCATATACCCTGATGGTAATCGTGATTCCCGCTTGTTCTTGGTTTTGTCCTCTAATTTCAAGTGGTACAATGGAGCGATGAAATAAAGTTCAACCTTGTAGAAGAAAAACACATGAATAATTACTTTGTAGATGAAAATTGAAATACAGTAAAGGAAAAAGGGAAGCAGAAGATTATTTAGAGAGACCAACTTTGTGCTGTCACTGTTAAACAAAATAATGACACGCCGTGCATAAGTGCCAACAAAATTTACAGGTGTTGGTCTTGATTTGTAGGTGTAAGCTAAAACTTAGCTTCAAATGACTGAGGTGTCACCGTAGTTAGTGCATTAAGAAACCATAGTGAACAATTAGATCATCTGATGGTGGCATTACATCATATTATAATA